TTAAATCTATTAAAATTATAGGCGTGATACTTAAAAAATTGACAAAGAAGATGTCAATTAAAAAAAAAAAGAGAGATATAGAATTTAAAAAAATATACATTTAATATTTTCTGATTTTAATGATAAAAATAAAAAATGAATTTAATTTAAATCACAAAATTGTCCCCCGAAAAATCCCTCTCCTCTTCGCTATACATAAGAGCCCTCCCGCATAGAAAGGGGGAAAGCCACCGCTAGCGCCACCATCTACCACCTCCGCCACCACTCCCTCCGCCACGCTGTTTTGTTCAATAACATCTTCATTTTGTTTATACACCCAAATCTATTCTCACTTGCAATTTTCACTTCTTCTGTAAAACCCTAATTATCGATTTCTATAATCGTCGATCTTATTTCTCTTGCTTCCTTCAAAACCCCTCACTAGATTGTCCTATTTGTTCGATTCAAGATCTGGGTTTTTCGCGTCATTGATTGATTTGGAGAGGATATAGGAAATAGGGTTTCTAGGGTTTGGGATTGGGGGGAATACGGTCAACGCTGGCTGATATTCGGGTCAAATAAATGGCGGATCCGCCAGGAGTCCGCCCCAATAAGATTGTTTATCGATTGAGGAAGAAGAGGAAGCTGGAAGGCGAAGTTTGGGATTGGTTCTGGTAGCGTTGTGGAGCACTAACGGTATTGTCAAAGTGATTGAAGGAGAAAGATAAAGCATGCTGAGCGTGCTGCGGGTGCACCTGCCTTCGGATATCCCCATTGTTGGCTGCGAGCTCACGCCCTACGTGCTCCTGTGCCGTCCCGATAAGACGATCACCACAGATGATGTGCCGGAGTCTGCCCCTCTTGATGGTCACTTCTTGAGATACAAGTGGTAAGTGTCATTTCTGGAAAAAAATGTCATTTGAGGTTTTGTTTTGCTTCATTATGGGTGTTATATTACTTGTTTAAGTCTATAGTAAAAATGCAAGCTTTTTGTGTTGTTTAGATATGCTATTTGGTTCTGGAATTAATGGTATGGTTGAATTTTAAGTTTTTTGAGTCATTTTGCTTGTGCATTTTAAGGTAGCTTAATTTTTGTTTACCTCTACTTGTTGAACTTACCCCTTTTTATTTTTAATGGGCCTTTAGATATGGTTCCTAGAATCCAGTTCTGGAAATGATAGTTTGTTTTCTCTACTTGCATCTGACTAAATTTTGCTTCTCAAGCTAATTTGAAATTCTTTCATTTAAATATCTGTCAATATATACCATATTTATAACTTTTTGCTTGAAATAGTATGTTTAAGGTTTGGTATGACACAAGTTAATAAGCCGAGTAATGTGGAATTTAGATTTTATGATTAACAATATTCTATCACTATGACAATTATTATCAGTTCTTTCTGTCATGGCTACCTTATAGCTGCCAGGTATGAGGATATCTAATATGTAGCTGAAATGAGAGGTTTAATTTGGTAACTATTCAGGTAGGCAGTAGCTTTGAAATGTACGCATGGAATTAGGTAGTCTAAAAGTATTTTCTATAGATGCTGTTCTCGAAATTCTTTTTAACGCAAAGTTCTAGGGCTGACTCTGGCTGTGCAATCTATTTGAATTTTTGGGGCGAACTGACACAGTTTATCTCGTAAGGGACAGCCTAAAATGAAAATTGTTTGAATTACTCAACTTCAATTTGAATAATAATAATAATAATAATAAACACTGTGTGCAGTCTGAAAAAGTTATTTTAATATCAAAAATGAAATAGAATTCTATGGCAATTTATATATACATATATATATATATATATTTTTTCTGTTTTCTTGCCAACAAAGTGAGAAATTTGGACAACATTTTCATTCTTAGGTTTTTTTTTTTTTTTTGGTCAAAGACCCACTGCTAAACATAAGTAAATAACCAATTATAAAATATTATTTTATTAATTCTTTGTGCTAATATAAGTAAATAAATTTGATCTCATTAATTTAGTTATCCACTCTCAAATGGTTTAGATCTTTCCTAGCACACCATTAGCCACTAAAAACCTAACCTCTGGAGGACCTTGGCCTGTATCAATTATGGATATGCCCTTTGGATGCATTGTTTTTAGATTTGTTGATTGTTGTCATTTGAAAGGTTTTCATTTGAGTTTTTCTTTGATTCTGGGATTTTGTGTCAATCATATTAAGTATTTGAATGGTCTGGAACTTAAAGTTTGGCCTGTAACATATTGCTGTTTCTTGGATTGGTCTAGCAGGTATCGTATACAAACTGATAGAAAAGTTGCTGTCTGTAGTGTACACCCCTCTGAGCAAGCCACATTGCAGTGCCTAGGTTGTGTTAAGGCTAAAATACCTGTTGTTAAAAGTTATCATTGCTCCCCAAAGTGCTTCTCAGATGCATGGCAGCATCATCGTGTTCTACATGATCGAGCTGCAAGTGCAGTAAATGAAAATGGAAATGAGGAGGAAGAGATATTTGGTCGTTTCAATGGTGCAGGATCTGGAGTTACTAGTTTATCGGCTTCAGCATCAAGCACTAGCTTGTCTAATGGTTCAACACCTTTGTATCCTGCTGCAGTTACCCAGCGGAGTGGTGGTGAAACCTGGTTTGAAGTTGGACGTTCTAAAACATATACGCCAACAGCAGATGATATCGGCCATGTTCTCAAGTTTGAGTGTGTTGTGGTAGATGTGGAAACCAAAATACCTGTTGGTCATCCTAATACTATTTTGACTTCCCGTGTCATTCCTGCACCTTCCCCTAGTCCTCGTCGCCTTATTCCAGTAAGTGGAGTTGACTTGATGGGGCATCTAGATTCAGATGGTCGCATTTCGTCATCTGGAACATTCACTGTGCTCTCATACAGCATCTTATCTGATTCATATGCCAGCAGTGAATTATACAGTTATTGCCCTTCTTGGGCTCTTTCTTGGCAGTACCGCAGACAGAATTTATTGCGGGAGATTATTGGGTATCGTGCAGACATTGTTTGTCTTCAGGAGGTAATAATTTCAATTCAATTTATCTTTTATATATATATATATATTTTTTTTTTGTAGTTGGGTTTAATATCCAGGCAACATTTTTCTGGCATGACCTTGGTGATAGGCATGCCCAACAAAGTCTTTATTAATTTCATTGTAAATGTTTTGGTACACTTTTTTTTTTTTTTTTCTGGTGTGTGTGTGTGTTTATCTAGTTCTCTTTCATTAGGATTAGTTTATCTGTGGATTATACTGTTGTGGAAACCTTCATTTTTCTCTTCAATGTCAGATATCCTGCTTTCTTTTTGCCAAAAGTAATTTATATTTACCTCTGTGATTGTGTTCTTCAACCTTAAAGATGTCATGCGCAAATAAGGAGATAATCCTAAAATTTTACCATTTTCCATATATCAAAGAGTTAAGCAAAGCTGGGCCCAAATCTAAATAAGAAGGAACGGTTCTGGAATTTGTAGTTTCTTTATCAACCTGCTTTGTGTACTAAACTTCTGATCAAGTTATTAATTCTTTTCTTCTTTTCAGGTGCAAAATGACCATTTTGAGGAGTTTTTTGCCCCTGAGCTGGACAAACATGGATATCAAGCTTTATATAAAAGGAAAACAAACGAGGTTATTTGAGATCTAAATTCCTCTTCTACTGGCTTATTTTATTCATTGTATAAATATGTTTCTTTCTATCAATTGGCATTGTTTTCACTGCAGGTTTGTAGTGGAAATCCCCTTACAATTGATGGCTGTGCAACATTTTTCCGTAGAGATAGATTTTCACATGTCAAAAAATATGAGGTTTTAAAGTCTGAACTTTTGTGGGCTATTGACTTTGTAAATCCCTTGTTTCTTATCATGCCAAAGTGACGCATGCCTGTCTGCAGGTTGAATTTAATAAGGCTGCTCAATCCTTGACTGATTTTGCAATTGCAAGTACCCAGAAGAAAGCTGCTTTGAATCGGTTGGTGAAGGTAATAAATTTTATTTTTTTCTTGTCTATATGCAATCTGTTGGGGTTTTTATGCTTTCTTATTTATGACCAAAGTGGAATGGACTATCTTCTTAACAGGATAATGTTGCATTGATTGTGGTTCTTGAAGCAAAATTTACTAACCAGGGAGTTGATAATCCTGGCAAGAGGCAGCTTCTTTGTGTGGTATGACTTTTGATCATAATCATCATCATTTGACCAGATGCATACTGTTTACTGCTAGGCGTTGGTTTCTAGCGCTTTTATCATTTGCCAGTGTATGACCAGATGTACCATAGGTGATTTCAGTATCATGTAATTGGATAGATGTAACAGAGGGTTAGACTGTTCATGGGCTAATTATAGATCAGGCTTCTAAACATCGCATCAACTGTGCTGGTCCTGTACTGGATTTAACTAAAAACTTCGTGATATACCAGAGGGTGTTGGATATATCTGTAAATTCATAAAGATTGCAGTATCATGTGATTGGATAGATGTAATAAGGGATTAGAGTGGTCATAAGCTAATTATAGATCAGGCTTGCGCCCTAAACATTGCATCAATTGTGCTGGGTGGGCCTGTACTGGATTTAACTGAAAACTTTGTGATATTCTTGGAGGGGGTTGGATACATCTGTAAATTCATAAATATTGACTCATTTACTCAGTTGATATTACTCTTTTTTTGTTTTTTGGTAATTTGTTGCTCTTCCACAGTTTCTTTCTTTCCATCTTTTGATTCCTTTATTTGTATGTGGTTTTGGAATACAGGCAAATACACATGTCAATGTTCAACAAGATCTAAAAGATGTCAAGATCTGGCAGGTTCTAATTTCTATTTCAATGGTGTCTATGTTTATTATTGTTATTAAAAGTAGTAAATAATTTAGTGTTTCTTAATTTTGCATTAGGTGCACACTCTCTTGAAAGGATTGGAAAAAATAGCTGCCAGTGCAGACATTCCAATGTTGGTAT